TTTTGGAGAAATACTGAAAGTTTCAAAGAAATCTTCGTACTAGAAGCATTCTAAAATGTGAAGAATACAACCCCGGGGTACAAAATGACCCCAGGGCATATGGATACGCTTTTACGCCTCCATCGATACAAATTGAGATTACATGTATTTGTGAGGCATCGTGGTGGAATCGGGCTCTCGTCAAAATAATGAAATCGAAGAAAACAGCAGTTTTCTCCCTGTTTAGCAATTTTTATCAAATTTTGGATTTTTGGCTCAACACCTTTTATGACCATTTACAAACACATTCCTTTGAGGATTTCACCGAAAACGTTTATTAAAGGAACAAAAATATAAATTTATAGTTTCCATGGACTCTCCAGCTTTGGAATTTATCAAGCTTTTGAGACCATTTTCTCGCTAATTTTACCTTTTAAATCAGGTGACCCCCACCTCCTTCAAACCAAAACATCTCCACTTCTATTGAATATGGATGGGTAATATTTTCATTGAAAACAAGACAAATGAACAAACTTTAAGATGATACCAATAACTCAATATGCCGAAAAATTGACGAGAGCCTGATTCCACCACGCAGCCTCACATTTAGGAGGTGGGATTTGACCGTGCCGACCACCAGGACCAGCAAGGGCTAAGAGGGATACAAGATACAACGTATCAGCAGAAAGACCGAGATTCTCGATAAAAATCTCAGTTCTCCCCACAGAAGGGGGGGGGTGTCAAATCCGAGTATAACAACAACAAATAGCATTTGTTTAGCGCATGTCCCAACCCGACAGCAAGCTCTCTGCGCTTTACACTAAATGTGAGGCCGCGTGATGGAATCAGGCTCTCGTCAAAATAATCAAAATGAAGAAACTTGCATTTTTCTGCAGGTTTGTGAATTTTTATCAATTTTTTGTTTTTTGGTTCAACACCTTTCATGCCCATTAAAGAACTCATTTTTGGGTGGATTTTTCTGATTACGTTGATTAAAGGCACAATAACTGAACTGTAAATTTTCAGTTGTCACGGACTCTTAAGCTAAGGAAATAATTAATTTTTGGCGGTCATTTTCTCACTAATTTTCCCTCTGAAAACAGGTGACCTCCACCTCCTTCATTCGCAAATATCTCGACTTGTATTCAAGATAAAGGGATATTTTTTCATCCAAATAAAGACAAGTAAACAAGCTTTAAGATGACACCAATAACTCTACATGCCCAAAAATTGACGAGAGCCTGATTCCACCACGCTGCCTCACAAATTATTGGCCCAGCAGACGATAGAACACCCAGAAACATTTTTAGCTTCTCAGGAAGCATACAGTGCAAGCAGCTGATTAAGCGCTCAAACACTAACGAACTGACAAGATCTTTCGCTGTCTATACTGGGTTCCTTTTTCCACCTGGGTGAAGTGAGGAAAATTCGTGTAAAGTGCCTTTCCCAAGGACACAACGTCGGGTTCCTGACGGGATTCGAACCCACGGCCTTACGGTTGTGAGTCCGAGAGGTATCGTGCGAGCGACGATGAAGGACCTAACCACTACAACCACAGACACCGGTAGCGGTGAGCTGATGAAATTGGGCAATATACAGTGTTGCCTGACCTGAGCAACAACGTCATTGCACACCGGACAGGTTCATAAGTGCTCAGTTCCCCCCAGCACCAAAGCCCGCAAGGTATCCATACTGATTGCCCCGGTGGCTGTCTGATTATGGCGACGTCTTCCCTTTCCTGATAATCGTTCCTTTCTTCCTTCTCCCCTCTCTGTCCCCATTTCCCTCATCCTAATGATTGCGTGGTGTTCTGCTGTCTCCCCGTCTTTTTCATCCCACAACTTTTCCTCCAGGGTCTTCAACACTTCACCTTTGTTAAATTTGGCAATATGCAGAGCAGTCTCTCTATAACGACATTGTCGGGACCAGAAGAAGTGTCGTTATAGAGAAGTGTCGTTATAGAGAAGTGTCGTTATGGAGAAGTGTCGTTATAGAGAAGTGTCGTTATAGAGAAGTGTCGTTATAGAGAAGTGTCGTTATAGAGATGTCGTTCTAGAAAAGTGTCATTATAGAGGTGTCGTTATAGAGAAGTGACGTTATAGAGAGGCAACCCAAAATTACTTCTGATATATGAGGAAAAAATCGGGAGCCTGGCACCATGTTGCTATATAAAGGATGTCGTTATATCGAAGGTCGTTATAGAGGGGCTGCACTGTATTCATTTTTCATTCATTCATTCATTC